ATAATAAAAATATGATAATTTAACAAAGGATAATCCTTGACCCAAACAAAACAAGACAACAATGATTGCCCATAAGAAGAGAGGAGAAAATAGGGTGAAGGGAACCACGACAGAGGCTAGCTCTCTCTGAATATGCCTTGTGGTGTAGTTTTGACTTTGAAACCATGGAAATTTTTAAAAATTATAAACCAAAATTAAAGACTTATAAAGCAATCTTTATATAAAGCAAAAATAAAGCAAATGAACTTAACTGGGTGTTGAATTGGTGGCATAAGCACACAGAGAGGATTTTTTAAAGTGAATTTAAAACACAGTAATTGAACTGTTCGATGCTCTTACTGCTATGACCCGGTTTTGTTTCCTGGTGAGGGAACCACACCACCCATCTGTCGGTTGTCATGCTGTGGCAGCTGTGTGTTGCTCTGATGCTGAAAGCTCTCCCACGGGTATTTCAAATACCAGCAGGCTCACCCGTGGTGGACAGTTTTCAGCGGAGCTTCCAGACTAAGACAGACTAGGAAGAAAGACCTGGCCACCCACTTCTGAAGAAACCGGCCATGAAAACTATGACTAGCAGCAGAACATTGTCTGATTAGCATGGGAAGGTGAGAGGATGGCGCAAAAACGGAACTGGGCAGGGTTCCGTTCTACTGTACATAGTGTCACTAGGAGTTGGAATCCACTCGATGGCAATAACAACAACAACAACACTGGACTGTTTATCGCTAGTGAAATATATTTCGAGGACAAAAAAATGGCAAAAAGAAAAAGAAAAAATAATAAAATTGTTTTTAGTAATTGTATTATTAATAAAAATATTGGCAGTGTTATTCTGAAACTATTATCCATGTCATAGTATATATTTTATAGTATATATGTATATGTGAGAGTGCGTGTGCTGTGCTTTGGCATAAAAAAGAACATGAATCTGATCCAGCCTCTATATCTACGTCCTATTTACAGGAAAGTCAGGGGCCAGAGAAACATGTGAAATGACACCAAGGAGATGGATGCAACTAACCAAATCCAGAATATGGGCAAGAAGACCAGGCAAGGATCCGGTTTCCTCAATAAACCAACTGAAAAGAAAACAAAAAGGGCAGTGATATAGATTAAAAGAAATTTAAGAGACGTATCAAACAAATTCTTTGCTATTTCTTCCATTGAGGGTTGGATTCTAGCTTCCCTCCCCTTGAGTCTGAGCTGGCCTTAATGACTTGCTTGACCTACAGAAGGTAGGGAAAGTGAGGTTCCGGGAATTCCAGGGCTAGGTCATAAGAAACCTGGCATGTGCTGCATGGGGCCTCTTGCAGCACAGTCTCTGGGATTCCTGAGTCTCCATGTAAGAAGTCAGAGTACTCTTAGACCAGCATCTTGCAAAGGCCAGCATGTTTAGGCACAAGTGCAGTCATGCGAATGTCGCCATCTTGGAGCTTCCAGACCAGCCACTGTCAATGTCACACGGACCAGAAGGATCACCCAGCCAGACATTGCTCAAATTATTGACACATAATATTGTGAGATACAATGAAATGGTGGTTGTTTTAAGCCGTTCAGTTTTGGAGTAGTTTGTTATACAACTATAGATGACCAGAATATCATCTAATCTTTTAAGATGGAAATTAAGATCTAGTGTTAGTAGAATCTGGTTTGCAGGAGGAAAGAATGAAAAAGAAAACAAGAAGTACATTTTTGGGGGTGCACAATCTGTAAAATAACATTATTGTATGATGAAATTGATACTTTATATATCATGTGGTGAAACAGAAGAATTGATTTGTTTGAGGTTTCAAAAATAGTGACTGACAGGAAATCAGTATGGGGAGAGAGAGAGAGAGAGAGAGAGAGAAAAGATGCATAATTATTTCTCCCTTTATGAATGTGCATTCCTGACATCTCTGAGGACTAAGATTGTCCTGCGGGGAATATGATTAAAGTTACAAAGAGGAAAACAAAATAAGTCAGTCAGCTTTTGATCCTGCTGCTATATTTACCCACAAGAAAGGAGGCAGCTCTCAGGTGGGCCTTTGTCTGAGTAATGTCCTGAAATCCAAGTGTAAAAGAACAATATGAAATCTCAATTCCCCCAAACGGTTTGGGGCGCGTTCAGCTCTTGAGCCCCTGGGGGGCTTGGTTCCCAAGGAGACTAATCCCACTTGCTCAGCATTAGGTATCACTGGAGCAAAAGAGCTCTAGTTTGGAGCTCTGCAGAGAGGCCCTACTGCAGGCTGGAGTCCGGTCCCTCTGCCCCACAGGAAGTGAAATGTATTGATGTCAAAGCCACTCAAGTGAGCATGCTCATTCAGGGTGGAGGAGGTGGGGCTGACGGCCCCGGCAGGAGCTGGCCACTGACTTTGCTGAAACTAATTTCAGCCCAGATAGAGCTCCTCCCCAAAGGAAAGGAGATGAAGGGGAAAGCAACTGAGACAATCAAGAGGGGTCTACATTTACAATTTAGTTGGCTATCGGAAGCTCTAAGGATTTATTTTGGTCTCAGGTATAGAGCTATTTCAAGCAGAAGTTGTTCTTTGTTGCCTTATGATCCATAGTTTTCCACAAACACTATTGCTTTCATATGACCATGCCTCTGCCCCCGCTGTTCCCAGAGGTATCGTTTGTTTGCTTGGCACACTCAAAAGATCATTTAAGTCTTAGCTCAAATGTTGCTTGTCTATGCAGGATTCCCCAACTCCTCTGGGCAGACTTGAGGGTCCTATTATCCCATCAATTGTGTACCTTTAATTTACTTCCACTGAGAAGTATTACATTATAGTATAATGGCTTCTATGCAGGTCTGTCTTTCCACAGAGAGGGTAGGAATCATGGCTTCTTATCTCTGTATCTGCAATACTGGCACAATGCTGAGCACATTGTTGGTGTCAGTATCTTTCGGTTGGATGAATAAGTGACTGGATGGATATTTTATGTGCAAGAGTCAATTTTGTGAATCAGGCTATAGAACTTCCAAGCCATAAATATCTTATATTTGTATCTAGAGATTTACAGTTGACAAAGAACTTCCACTTCCATTCTCTCATTGATTTTCACTATAGCCTTATCAAATAGACTCGCAGCATTATTCCCATTTTATTGACGAGAACATTGAGGTCCAGAGGCTCAAGTGACTTTTCTATACTCAGTCAGATAATAAAAGGGTAGATGGACTCCAGTCTTAATCTCTGGCTCTAATTTCAATACTCTCTCTACTATATTACAAAGTCTTTTTCTAAGTTTCTCCAACCTGCAAGTATTGCTGCTCTCTTGCATTTGAAAATAGTCACTCACTTTGTTGCGGAAAAGAACGAATGATGCTGACTTTATATGGTGGTAAGGAATGGGTGGTGCCTAAGGAATGAAGAACATAGACATTTGATAAGCTACTATTTTGTGCCAGGAGCTTTCATATATGCCATCTCACAACAACCTTGAGGAGTTGAGATGGTCTCCATTGTACAGATGAAAAAGGTAAGACTCAGAGGTGTTATTTGCCTATGATGTCACGAAATTCTCACAAAGACTCTGAGAACAGTTATGCCCATTCCCATTTTTTCAGATGAAGAAACTTTAGGAAGATGAATTGATTTGTCCAAGGGCACTCACCTAGCAAGCAGCATGCTAGTATGTGAACCTGGCCTCATCCAACTCCAAATCAACTTTGATGCTTAGAATGCCAATGGTCTGTAAATGAAGCGACTGTTACATGTGAATCTTTCATATTCCATTATGTTGAATATTATTATGTTAGAGCTTAGCTAACTCTCTGGGGATTAAGAGAGATTTTTCAGAGTAAAGATGTCAATTAAATGTATTGTCCTTTGCAATCTGTGTCTGGGGATTTGCAAGAGCTACTCAGTTGAAAGAAGGTGATAAAGAGTTAGTGCTGTTGGCTGCCAGACTCGGAGGCCTGTGGAATGGTCTTGCTGAAAGGGGAAGGGAAGTGCTGACATCCACCCCTGAGGGTAAGAAACATAGCTCAGTGTCCGGCCCACACGATTTGCTGAGTGCAAATGTCACCAGGGACGAAATTGACAGTCCCATCATGGAGGACAAAATCCTGTGTGTAACTCAAATGAAAGGCACATGATAATTGAGCCAACCTGAGTCAAAAGAAGAAAAAGTTTGTTTCAGCCATGTCAGCTTGGGAAGCAACTACTTCATCTCCTAAATGCAGAGTGTTCCTCTGGCCTTTCTTTGGTCAGGCTTGTGCCTCCAGGGTGCTCAAAAATAGTTTTGCTACATTCTAAAAAATGAGGCTTAAAGAAAAGAGTGTTGAAAGAGAGAGTCTCTATCTCCCCCCTGCAGACCTGCACCTAAATTATAATAACTTTAGAGATCACCTTATCACACACAGTGTCTTCATGTAAGTGATCTCATTTAATCCTCATCAACACCCTGTCACATAAGGGGACACATAAGGGAACATAGCCACCTTTTTGTGTTTTAGAGAAATAAGGAAGATACTTATCACAGTCTATGGAACAGTCAACAGATAAGGATTTTTCACAGGATGTTTCCTTTAAATATCACAAGTGCCCTGTGACGTGGGCAAAGTTACCCGCATTTAACATGAGTAAGCTAAGGCAGAGAGAGTTGGGCAGGTTTGCCCAAAGCCATGTACAGTAATCATCAGAGCAAGGATTTCAACCCAAGTCACAGAGCTATCGGGTGGTGAGGCCAATCCCAGAACCCAAGTCTTTTCTGAGTCATCTTCCACCCTCTATGAGCATCATGCTCATTTTCTCCATCCCAAGAAGGTTCCTGAAACTGGATCTAAGTGAACTTCAAGGTGATTCCTGAAATGCAACAGAAGCTGCAGAAGGACAATCTAAGTGGCATGACAGGTAGGGGAGAGATTCCAATCCATATTTTGTCCTACACTGCTGAGAGTTTTACACACACACACACACACACACACACACACACACACACAGGGCTCTCTCTCCAGCAACAGCTGGCTTACTAGGAGCCACTTCTTCCTCCCTTGCGTCTTGCTGTCTATCTACTACTAATAAAAGATGTGCCAAGGGCTGGCTTCAACTTACTATAAGCTAATCGCTGCTTCTAACAATCAAGAGGCAGAAAAAAGAGCACTGGACTTAAGAGCTCTGCAGAAACTCGAGTTAGACTCTTAGGACCAGGGATAGAGTTTGAGGAGACACGAGGTTCCTTCCCCCACCTTATAGATACGGAAACCGAGGCCAAGAGAGAACACAAGTTTTGTCAAGGGTTTGGGAATGGCTTTGGAGTCAGACTGAACTCAATATGGCCTTGGCCAACTCACTGAAACTCTCTGAGCTTGTTTCTCCATTTGTTAGACTGTGATAATAATATGCCCTTCATAGGGCTATTGTTCAAAGATTAAATGAGGAAATAAATGGACAGCGCCTGGCGCAAGCAAACAGCCAGTAGCTGGTGGCTATTATTATTACTAGAGCTAGGACTGAAATCGAGGTCTCTGGACTCGCTTTCTCCTGCCTCAGGGAGAGTCCCCCGCACCAGGGCGTGGCTCTACAGCAGCTAGAGTTTGAGGACCGGCCATCCCATCCTCACCTCTTGCGTTTGGAACGAGCCAAGAGAAACGCGCGGGGCGAAGGGACACTAAGGGTTAAGGCGATGAGCTTGAGAAAGCCCGAAAACTAGAAAAGCGCCCCCCACACCAGGCAGCCAAGCTAAGTAAGCCCCTCCCCTCCGCCACCGGGGCGGTCGCCGCGCGCTCTCCCCCGCCCCTCGCTTACAAGACCTAATGAGCTCCCCCGGGAGGCCGAGCAGCGCGCCGGCCCGGAGAGAGGAGGCTGCGCCGCGCGCACCGCGCCGGGGCGGGAGCCGGGCCTGGGCTGCGGGCGGGAGGCGGCCGGGGGCGCAGCGGCCGCGCTGCGGACCGCCAGGGAGTCGCGGCGATGGCGGTGCAGGCGGCGCTCCTCAGCACGCACCCCTTCGTCCCCTTCGGCTTCGGGGGCTCCCCGGACGGGCTGGGGGGAGCCTTCGGAGCCCTGGACAAGGGCTGCTGTTTCGAGGACGATGAGAGCGGGACGCCGGGGGGCGCGCTGCTGGCGGGCGCCGAGGGCGGGGACGTGCGCGAGGCCACCCGCGACCTGCTCAGCTTCATCGACTCGGCGTCCAGCAACATCAAGCTGGCCCTGGACAAGCCGGGCAAGTCGAAGCGGAAGGTGAACCACCGCAAGTACCTGCAGAAGCAGATCAAGCGCTGCAGCGGCCTCATGGGCGCCGCGCCTCCGGGCCCGCCCTCCCCGGGCGCCGCCGACACGCCCGCCAAGCGGCCGCTCGCCGCCCCCGGCGCCCAGACCGTCGCGGGCCCGGCCCACGGCAAGGCCGCCCCTCGGCGGGAGGCGTCGCAGGCCGCGGCGGCTGCCAGCCTGCAGAGCCGGAGCCTGGCCGCGCTCTTCGACTCGCTGCGCCACGTCCCCGGGGGCGCCGAGCCGGCTGGGGGCTCAGTGGCGGCGCCCGCGGCCGGGCTCGGCGGAGCTGGCGCTGGGGGCGCGGGAGGGGACGCGGCCGGCCCCGCGGGGGGTACGGCGGTCCCGGGCGCCAGGAAGGTCCCGCTGCGCGCCCGCAACCTGCCCCCGTCCTTCTTCACCGAGCCGTCCCGGGCGGGCGGCGGCGGCGGCGGGTGCGGCCCGTCGGGGCCCGTCGTGAGCTTGGGCGACCTGGAGAAGGGCGCGGAGGCCGTGGAGTTCTTCGAGCTGCTGGCGCCCGACTACGGCACCGGCACCGAGGCGGGCGTCCTCCTCGCCGCGGAGCCTCTCGATGTGTTCCCCACTGGAGCCGCCGCCCTGCGGGGACCCCCGGAGCTGGAGCCCGGCCTCTTTGAGCCGCCGCCGGGGATGGTGGGGAGCCTACTGTATCCCGAGCCGTGGGGCGCCCCGGGCTGCCCCTCGACCAAGAAGCCGCAGCTAGCTGCCCCCCGTGGCGGCTTGACCTTGAACGAGCCTTTGCGCCCCCTGTACCCCGCCGCCGCGGACTCTCCCGGCGGGGAGGATGCGCCCGGCCTCTTGGCCTCTTTCGCCCCCTTCTTCTCAGACTGCGCCCTGCCGCCGGCGCCGCCGCCGCATCAGGTGTCCTACGATTACAGCGCGGGCTACGGCCGCACGGCGTACTCCAGCCTCTGGAGAGCGGACGCCGATTGGGAAGGGGCGCCCGGGGAGGAGGGGGCGCACCGGGACTGACTGCGAGGTCCCCTTCCCTCCCATTGGAGACTGCTGGGGGAGCTCCCGCCGCCGGGTCTCTCCGAAGCGTAAAGAACGGTGGGGAAATGCACATGGAGATGAAACGGGATTTAAAAAAAATGAGTTAATAAAAACAACTTCAGAAAAAGAGATGAAGAGGAGTTGGGGGTTGATTTATCACAGTCTCAAGTGTTTTTAAAAAAGAGAAGCCGTTGGTAGGTTCTTACTGGAACAGACGAGCCAAGAAACCAAGACGGGGTTTGGGGAAAGGGCTGGGGATGGCGGAAGGGGCAAGAGGTGGCTTGTGTAGCCACCTGTCCCTTCTCCAATTTTCCAGCAAAAGGTCAGTGTATTTAGTGTAATTGCCCCTTTCAAACAGTGCCCTCTTCCCTCCCCTTTGAGTGCATTATGAATTAAAGCCTACGTTGAAAGAATGGAGCGGAGGTATGTTATTGATTTGGGTGATTTCTTAGAGGACGGTTTTCGTGTGGTCTCTACCTTGTTAGGTGAGAGTGTTACTGACACGAGGCCAGTGGTCCACTGCTGACCTCCGGTGTACTGGTCCTTGGGTATGGTCTCTTCTCTGCCACTCTTCCTCTTAAACTTTTTTCTGCTCCCTTTATCCTTCATCTTCTCTTTCCACCCATCAGTGCCCTTGCTTACTTTTGTTCTCTTTCTTTCCCTGGCCTCTCATTGCTCCTTTTTACCTGTCGGCTTTTCTTGCAAATCTCCAATGTAGGAGGCTTAAATCTGGCAAACCTGGGGTCCATTTCTCTCCTTTCCTTTTCCCATTCGTCAGCCACTTTGGGAGGAGGAGACTGCGCAAGTTAGAACCTCTTTGCATCTAAGTTTCCTTGTCTGAGAGGATGAGGATGACAATATTCCTCCACTTCTCACTTCCTCACAGCTTGTTGGGAGTTCAGAGCAGAAATTCGTAAAATGCCTTGAGGCTGCTGCAGTGCACAACTGGTTCTGCAGCAATGTGTGTTTTCTATACGTATGTAAGTGGCCTCTAGTCATGGTAGATCTGTGAGTGCCATGCTCTTTTCGGCCCATCTCTTTGCTTGGTGATTGCCTTTTCCCTTGCAAGCCATACACCCTCACTCCCCAGTCTCCTTCTGTTCTGCTCCTCCTGTTGGTTTCTGCCCCTCTGTGCTGCTTCACTCCTTATACTCACGCTCCCCCGCTGGAAAGAAATGGTGGAGTGAAGTTTCCAAAGCAGTATCTGTATTCCTTGAATGGCAGGTTTGATGAGTGGAATCTGAAGGGGCCCTGGAGAGAGGTGTCTGATCTGTTAATCTGAGGGAGATTTAGGAAAAAGTCAGAGGGATGTTTTAACCAGCCATGAAGTGGCAGAGAGGACACATGGCATCGTCAGGATGGTTGAGGGACGGAGGAGGAAAGACTGTGTGGGAAGTGAGCAGCTGGAAAGGAGAGAGGGAACCCTTCAGTTCTCAGACCTGCCAGTGAAAATGCATAAAGAGACCAACACCCAGGAAATAGAAGGAGATGTTGCCTACTGATTAATTACATTGCCAAGGAGAGCTCTGTTCAAGGCAGCCAAGGTAGAAGATAAAAATATCTACATGTGAGACGTGAGAAAGTTGACACTCCAGCGTTACTGCAAAAGGTGTTAAAATCCAGGTTAATGTTTGCAGAAATCGAAAGTGCTGTAATATTTTTGAAAAGAATTTGTGAAAAAACAAATGGGAATCAAGCCATGGCAGATAATTTTAAATACTCTTGCCAAGTCACTTTCTTCTGTATTTTAAAATCTTTCTTAAGAAAGCACTACAGGAAATACAGCAATGCGTCTTGCTAACGATGAAAAGAATTTTCATAACGCCAGAGACTTAGTGTCTATTGAATTTCTTTCAGAGCGGTGAAAAGTGATTAATTTCATGGTGTTAGCAGAGTATTATTCAACAATAATTTATCTCAACTATTTTATGATGAGGACAATCCAGGACAGAATTGCACAGTAGGAAGAATTTAATAACCCTGTGACAATTACTAAGGCTGTAGGGTCCCTGCGATATTTCTTTCTTAATTTCCTCTAGCTTAGTTGAACAAGGTCTCTCGTTCCCAGTATCTTGCTTGCCATGTCTTTCATTAATACTGAAAATGCCAACACTGGGTGTTTCCATCTGCCAGTGCCGAGCTCAGCACCACCTCAGGGAACCTCTTAACAGTCCCACAAGACAGGTGCCGTTACTATCCCCATTTGAAAAGCGAGGGTCAGACAGGTTACATAACTTGTTGGAAGCAAGTATTGGATCCAAGATCCAGATCTACAAGTGTCCCAACAAGACTTGCCTGCTGCTTGCAAGGCTCTGCTGTGCTTTGTTACATGTATGGTTCCCAGTCCCCAACATACGCTGCCAGCAGGGTTTCTCAACCTCATTGCTATAGAGCTTTGGGTGGGATAATTCTTTGCTGTGGGGGTTGTCCTGTGCATAATAGAATGTTTAGCAGCATCCCTGGCCTCTACCCACTAGATAGCAATAGCATTCCCCTAGTGTGACGATTAAAAAAAATCTCCCTTACCACGTGTACCCTGAGGAGCAAAATTGCTGCCAGTTGAGAACCACTATGCTAGCCAAATGTATAAGCAGCGTCTGGAGTGCCTGGCACTTTCATATAATGATCTCATTTAACTCTTACAAAGGCCTGTGCTTGGGTATTGCTATTATCCTCATTGTTATAGGGGAAAAGGGGGGGGGGGGGGGGGGGGGGGGGGGGGGGGGGGCACTAAATCAATCAATTCAGCTACATCTTATCTCTGCTAATTTACCAGCCCTGGACCAGTTACTTAACTGTATTGAGACACAGACTTCCCACTGGCAAAATTGGATAGCAGTCTATCATAAAGAGTTATCATGGGGATTTAGCATAAGGAATGTATAAATGCCCACCAACAGGGAGGGGATGGTTCTTGTACTAGGCAGCCAAGGCTTGGCATTATATCAAGGTTCCAACCCACCCTGTTATCCAGGATGCCAAGAATGTGTGCTTAACCACTATGCAGCCTCCAGATTGCCTCCTCTCAGAATCCTCTTCTTCCCACATTGCCTTTCAGTCTGAGCACATGTGTGTCTGGCCATGGTACCTACCGCAGTACAGTAAGGAGTGCCCATTAATAATACTCCCGCCAAGGGCTGAATGCATTGTTGCTTCCTCTCATATGTCGTTTTCTACTGCAACCTGTTAGAAAGTATTTTTGTCTCTTGTTTAGCCACATAATTGCCTATAGAGATTTCTTTTTAAGTGCAACAGTAGATATTTTTCAAGACCAGAAATGTTATAATATGTTTGTAGTTGTATGACTTTGGACAGGCTGGGGATCCTAGCCTAGTTGATAATAATCGCTACACTGCATGCTGCATATTCATGATTTCCCATCTCAGCCTTGGTGTCTGGAATGTGTTTTAGTGTCTTCCTGCATCCTCTAAATGGCTGTCCCAAGCTTTTGCTCATCTCCATCCAGGCCTCCACCCTACCCTTCTCCTCACTCCCATGTCCTGACATTCGGAGAGCATCTGTTGTAATCCCCGCCATTTCCCATCCTCACTTTCACACGTGAGTCTTTCCCTCCAGCAGGCAGAACCTTTTCCTGCCCTCGAGACTCAGCATCCTGCCCCTCCTACTCCATGAGGACAAGATGCTGCTCCATTAGTTATCCTTAGTCTCCTGTCTCCTGCCTCACCCTCCCTTTTTCGTCTTATCCTAGAAGTAAAGCTTTAGCATGGTTTAAAAAATAAGAAAGAAAGGGAATAAAGAAGGGAGAAACTCTCTCAACCCTGTTTCCTTCTCTACATGTTACTTTATCTTCTTTTTAGAGTCGAGTCTCTCAGAAGAAGAATCCACACTTTTTGCCTCCACCTCCCCTGATATTTAAACCTTAACTATTTTGAGTTCTAGGGTGACCAACCATCCCCGTTTGCCCAGGACTGTCCTGGTTTGAGCACTGAAAGTTCCACATACCAAGAAACCCCTCAGTCCCAAGCAAACTGGGACAGTTAGTCACTGTACTTCTGCCAACTGTTTCTCCCAAATTGCTCCCACGGAAGCCCCAGTCACCAACCATGGGACCTTTAGCCTCCAGCTTTCTTGACCTCTGTGCTGCACCTGAACAATTGGCTTCATCTTCCTAAAACTTTCCTCCTTGGGTTTTTGGAATCTGATTTTTGGTTTTCTCCTAACTTTCTAGCCATGCCTTCTTCTCCTTGCTGGATCTCTCATACACTGGTGTGCTCCTGGGATCCCTTACTTCTGCCCTTTGCTCTCCACACTCCACACATTCTTTCCGGGTGAGGGTGGCCCTTTCCAAGGCTTCAGCTAGCGATAATGCACTGATGACCTCCAAATCTGTGCCTGCAGCCTCGGCTTCCTTCCTCTGTCCTAGAGCCATTTCCTCACCATTTCTTAGATGGCTTCTCCGGGGGGGACCGTAAGCTCCTCAAACTTTATGTCCAAAATTGAACACATACACAACCTGAGTAGCCCACAGCCAACCGAGCCACACTCTTTCTTGTAGCCTTCCTCATCCTGTCCAAATGCTGCCAAGGCCTATTCCATACTATCTCCTAAATCAATACATTTCAAATATTTTATTCATACCTTCAGAAAAACTTCATTTTATATTATATCTCAATACATCATATCCATATTCATATAAAATCATATGCATACATACACATATTTAATAATTTAAATATTATTGGATTATCTATATTAATATTTGATGATCCATTTTGCTAGATAATCAAAATTTTTTTTTACAAAGCCCGGATGCTTGCTAGGAGCTATATGATACACTGATATTTTCTTTTCTATTTCTTAATAAATCCTGGCTATTATCCATTAAATTGCTTTTATGACTCATTAGTGGGTTGGGCCTGCAGTTTGAAAGACGCTGCTCTAAGCATCTCTTGTGTGTCTCCTCCACTCCATTGCCAGTGTCACTTCCTTCGATTGGGCCCTCATCACCCCTCACCTAACCTACGGCAATGGTCTCCTGACGACTTCCTTGTCTCTGAACTCACAATCCCTTAATCCAACCTCCCCACTGCTCGCTGAGGTGACATTTCTAAAAAGCACCTTGATGTTCTCACTCTTTTCCTTAAAATCCTTCAGTGGCTCCCTGTCAGTTCCAAGGTAAAGTTCAAAGGGCTTGGCTTAAACATGTGGCTCCCGCCAGCCTCTCTAGTCCCACCTGCCTCTTCCCTATGGTGCCTGTATTTCAGGAATTTAGTAGTAGTTGTAGATAGGTGCTTGAATGCTCCATATCCATGTCACTTCGATGAATTTCTTCCTGCTCGACCTATGCCTAGAATGTACTCCCCATTTTCTCTGCTTGCTAATTTCTACTAAACCTGTCATTCTCAGCTTAAGTCTCAACTTCTTTTTTAACCTCCCTGGATCAATTATGCAC